CAAAAGCATGGATGGAGTGTTTGTGTGAACTAATATAAATTCAAAGTAAACATCATTACATAAAAGGGTACTGTCTTTTTTTTTTTAGTTTTATTCATTTCAAACAGGCCGGATCCGGCCCGCAGGCCGTAGTTTGCCCATGGCTGATCTAGAGGGTATTGTGCTAAGTGAAATATGTCAAAGAAAAATACCATGATTCATTTATATGTGGAATCTAAAAAACAAAGTAGATGAATAAACAAAACAGATGCAAACTTGGAATACAGAGAACCAATTGGTGGTTGCCAGATAGGAGAGGCATTGGAGGATGGGTGAAAAAGGTGAAAGATTATAAAGTATAAATTACCAGTTATTAAAATAGTCACAGGAATGTAAGATACAATATAGGGAATCTATACTAACAAAAGAGTAATATGCTAATTAGACTGGATAGACCAGATGTCATTCCAGTCGTCCTTCCTGACAAAGCTGGGGCCCAGGCAGCGCCGCCCGGGGTTCCAGGTGCCTGTGGGCGGCTGGAGGAGGGAAGCCTGGGCCTGGGTGCAGGGTCTGAGGCAGAGGCAGTTAGGGGCCATTAGGCAGGTAGGCGAGCAGTTAGGGGCGATTAGGCAGGCAGGTAAGTGGTTAGGGGTGATCAGGCAGGCAGAGGGGTCAGGTGATCAAGCAGGCAGGCAGGTGAGCGGTTAGGAGCCAGCACTCCCAGATTTTGAGAGGGTGCAGGCCGGGCTGAGGGACAGCACAAATTTCATACACCGGGCCTCTAGTGTAGTCAGTAACATTGTAATGACTATTTGTAATGACTGTGTATGGTGTCAGATGTGTATTAAACTTATCTGGATGATTATTTCGTATGGTATATAAATGTCTAATCTCTATGTTGTACACCTGAAACTAATATCGTGTGTCAACTGTAATTGAAAAATAAAATTTTAAAAATAGTAATAAATGAGCAAAATAATGCGGTGGCCCATTGCAATAACTCTGGGAGGATCATTAAGTAAAATTGTTGCTGATCTTGAAAGATGAATATGAGAAACAAAATTATTACTTTTCCCTAATTTCAAGAATGTAGCCAAAAAGAACAAGAAGGAAGGAGGCTGGCTCTATGATTTACTTAGCTTTGTGACTTGGTATCATTTATGTAAGTTCTGTGAGATAGTATTCTTAGCTTTAAAATGGTAATAATTCAGGGTTTTGAGGGTAAGAAAGATGAAGTATGAAAAATGCTTAGATGAAGGCACTCAAATATTCCTTTTTTCCTTTCTCTGAGGTTAATAGGAATTTGAAACAGGTGGTTGGAAGATATATTTTTTCTATTATCCCTTTGTGCTAATGAACTGTTCAATTGGCATAAAGTTGTTTAAAAAATTATAGCAGAGTTCCACTGTCTTATTCCTTTTGAGCTGCTACAACAAAATTTAATTCTCACAGGTCAGGAGGCTTGGAAATCCAAGTCAGTGTCAACAGCATTGATGTCTGGTGAGGGCCTGCTTTCTGGTTCATAGACAGCTGTTTTTTCAGTGTGTCCTCACATGGCAGAAGCTCTAAAGGACACTCACTGATCCCATCTTCATGACCTCATAACCTTCCAAATATCACATTGAAATTGTGGTGGGGAGGTGGGAGAAGGGGTGCAAACATTCAGTCTCTAGCATCCACCTTTAATTTTTATCTGTGAGATATTACCTGTTTAGTTTTAAGTTATCTTTTTTCCTCTCCTTGAATTTAAGTTGTAATTATTGTCTTAGAAAATTCCCCACATAATTTCTAAAGCTCTATTAGTTGATATAATTTTAGATCAGACATAGAGTGGATTATTGTCATGGAATATAGAATTGCTTATTTTCAGTTGCTTGTACATTAGAAGAAATATAATGGGTCTTCTAAATCAATGCTTTCTACATTGAACAGCATTTTAAAACTATTTAAGTTCAGAAACATCCTTGAGATTCCTGGAAAAATTTACATATAACATTTTTTCATAAGTTTTCAAGGGGTTCATGGACTTCTTAAAGACTGTTCATGAATTGTAGATTAAAACCTAGCTTTGGGTCTATTATGAGCACACATATATTGACCACCTGAATGTACAAGGCATTTTGTGAAATATTACTACTGTAAGAGCACCATGAAATTTTTATAGTTATGTATATAAACCCCATCCACTTAGAAATTGAATTCTTGAGGAGTGTATTTTTCTAGTAATTAGTAAATTTTCTCTCAGAATTCTTAATTTCTGCTAGCCATGATATAGCTTGCCATTTTGTCTGTATTGGTAGTTTTTTCCTTTGGATCTGGAGTTAGAGCTATGTGCTAATAAATTTGCTTTTAAATACTGTTTAGATATTATTTCTGTCTAATCTTCAACCTAAAATACACAGGGCTTCAGGAAGATCTTACATAAAAGCAGTAAAATGTATACTTCATGGCAACATAAAGTGAGTAAAAGTAACATTTTATTTTTCACTTTTATTAAATAGCACCAATAACTCCAGATAGTGGTTATTCATCAGCCCATGCAGAAGCCACTTATGAAGAAGACTGGGAAGTGTTTGACCCGTGAGTTGTTTTCTTTTTCTTCCTTCTTAGCAGAATGAAAGTCCATGTGTGGAGGGGTAGCTGAGTGGTATATTGCAAAGAGCATGTAACTTATAGGTAGTAATACTTTTGCTGAGTTATTCAAATACTAATTTGTATATTTTCAGTTTTATTTACATGTTTTACATGTTTGGTTTACTAATTTAAATACGGATTGCTTAATTAACGTGAACTGAATTTAGTAATATGTCTTACATTTATAAAAAGTAGAAATGTTGAAATTTTCTTAAAATTTGATTTATAGCTATTATTTCATCAAACATGTTCCACCACTGACAGAAGAACAACTAAATAGGAAACCTGCTCTTCCATTGAAAACAAGAAGCACACCAGAATTCTCCCTAGTTTTAGACCTGGTAAGTATATTATTTGCAGATGTAAGAAAAATAAAGGAGTTAAATTCTCTTTTAAAATACTAGCCCAAAACACCAAGAAGAATATTAGGTGACTAAATAGCCTTACACATTTGCTATGAAAATGTCTTAGGTGTTCTGAAATGTTTTTGTTTTTTTATTATTGAGAGTATTACTGATGTCCTCCATTTTCCCTCTTGGCTCCTGCCCCAGCCCAGGCCTTCACTGCACTTTTGTCTGTGTCCTTGGGCTATGCATATAAGTTCTTTGGTTAATCTCTTCCTGCACCCCCCCTCACTCCCACCCTTTCTGCTGAAATGTTTTTATTTTAAGCTCGGTCTAATGCTTAGGGTCCCTAGCTTGGTTGATAACAGGTACCTTCTTAAATCTCCCAAGAAAATTCTAATTTCATTTCATGCCTAGATTTCACCTTTTGGGTCAGGATTGTTTCCTTGAAGGACCAGATATAATCTAGGTCTCAGTGAGTTAACCTTTGCAAGACCATACTTCTTTTCCTATTCTTGTATTTATGTATTATCTAATATCAAGGACTATTTATTAATACACTCTCAAAAGTATGGTATCTTAATGCTAATAAAACCTTTAATATGCTCTATTGGTATGATTTTAAATTTTATACTTTAGGGTACCAGAAGAGCTTTAAAAACTGAATGTCTATTATATAATATTGGAAAACACTATATAATTTAGACTTTGTTACTGGTACTCTGTAATTGAAGATGTATTTAATTCTCATAAAGAATTTTGCTTCAGGAAAAGCATATTATTTTAAACTAGAGGCCCAGTGCACGGATCCTTGCACATTGAAAGGAAATTAATTAGAAGAAATATTTTAGAGGCTGGGAAGGGACCACGGGAGGGCTCCAGGGTGTGTCCTGCCTGTCTCGCCCAGTCCTGATCAGCCAGAACCCATCAGCAAGCTAACCTACCGGTCAGAATGTTTGCCCCCTGGTGGTCAGTGCACGTCATAGCAGCTGGTCAAACGGTCATACACTTAGCATATTAGGCTTTTATTATTTGATATTAATTAGCATATGTAGTTCTGTTTTGAGAGTTTAGCACCTAAGCCTTTGCCTGGCCAAAGAGATGTAAGAGGTATAGCCAGTAGTCCTAAGTACTTAAGGTATTTATTAGAGAATAAGTAGAAACAAGAATTTGAAACTGATTATGGTTAATTTAGATTTGATGTGCAAGGTAGTGAAGAAACTGAAAAAGATTTTGCTAGATTTTTATGTTAGGAGTTGATATAACAAGTTTGGCCATATAGTTTTTAATTAAATGTGAAGACAAATAGAAAAAGAAAGATAAGAATTGGCTAAGTTATTTTACAGAAGTGGATAACGTAGAATGAGCAAAAGTTAGGCTATAGGTGAGTTAGTAGAATTAGTTATGAGTCAATTGTAGGAAAGAATACCTTTTATAAGGTGCTAAGAGAATACCTTGAAATGAGTAGTCTAGTGTGCTATTAAAAGAAAATGAGGTTTATATAGAGTATATTTTGCTGTTTGCCTCTGCAGAGTTTAACTTTAGGTTAAAAAAACACACCAAACATTTCAGCTAGTAAGATGTGGAGTCACAAGGTATGAATATTTGTGTTTCATTTTAATTCATCTTAAATGCATTGAAAATTTTGGGGGATAGTTATCAGTTTTATATATTTATTTATTTTTTAAATGTCACGTACTATAGATGGAAGCCTTATTTTTTTAATCATTCAGGATTTGAGAAATATTAATATTTGCACATATCTTAGATTGAATGATCTTTGCCTTATTCTTTTAATGAGAAAACAGGGCTTTGTAATGAAAGATGGCAAGTCTTCATTGATTTAATTAAACAAATGTTTATGTCTGAACATTCAACAGGTACTGAAACATTCATTTTTAAAAATGAAATTCTTTATAAAAGATTTAAAGATGAGCTATATGATTAGAATATATCTATTTTTGGAAGATATGTAATAGATTCTAAACTTCCATTTTTTAATTGTTTTTAAAAGCGGTATGTATGGTTTAGTTAACAGAAAGTTGGAACTCAAAACAGTGGTTCTCAAACTGACATGCATTAGAATCACCTTAAAGGGCTTTTTAAAAAATATTTTTATTGATTTTTTTTTTTTTAAAGAGAGGAAGGGGGAAGGGTAGAGAGATAAAAACATCAATAAGAGAGAAACATGGATCAGCTGCCTCCTGCTCGCCCCCTACTGGGGATTGAGCCTGCAACCTGGGCATGTGCCCTGACTGGGAATGGAACCAGTGACCTCTTGTTCATGGGTCCAACATTCAACACTGGCTGGGCTGAAGGACTTTTTAAGCAGATTATTGCACTCCTCTCTTCACCTCTTGGTGAATTCTGAATTATCAGAAGTGGAGCTGGAGAATTTTTATTTCTAACTGGTTCCCAGGTGATGCTGCTTGCTGGTCCAGAGACTACACCAGAGAAACAGGGATTTGGAATGGGTAGCTCAGTTGGTTAGAGTGTCATCCCAATACACCAAGGTTGCAGGGTTCAAGCCTCAGTCAGGGCACATATAAGAAGCAAGCAATAAATGCATAAATAAGTGGAACAACAAAAATCGGTGTTTCTCTTCCACCCTACCTTCCTGTCTCTCTCAAATTAATAAATTAAAACAAAAATTTTTTTAATCAAAAAGAAAATTTTGTCCAAATTGCTATGTTACACACAGTAATGTATGATGAATGTAAAATTCCATATTTGAATGGGTGCTTGAATAGATGTTTTTGGAGATCGTGGACATATAAAATTATTGGAAATTTCTTTTAATATCTTGGTTCATTCAATATGTGTTTTTTATTTTAAGGATGAAACACTAGTACACTGTAGTCTAAATGAGCTAGAAGATGCAGCACTTACTTTTCCAGTCCTTTTCCAAGATGTCATTTATCAGGTAATTAAAGAAAAATTTTAATTTGATTCTTGGCCTGTTAGATTAACAGTCTGAACTAAGAAATCTTTTGCAAATTTTTTTTTTGGTGAAGTTTAATGTGGTTTTCTATTAGATTTCATCAGTACTTTAATGATTTGTTAACAGAGTAGAATCATACTAAATAATTACGTAAAACAACATTAATTTGTTGCCACAAATATTTTACCAAGTGATCTCTGCTAGTTTTATAATGTATTTGCCAGCAGGTGGAGGCAGGAGCACTGACATCATAGATCCCTAAGAAGAACTTGCCAGGTTAATACCTGGTATGTTTTTCTCCCCTCCAAAATCCAAATGATATAAAGAAAACTCATTCCTTGTTGGTCATTTTTATTTCCTTTTGTAGTAATATGGTCTGTAGATTGCATTTTGGTTGACCTAGTTTATAATCACAAAATTCCAGGATATTCTTCTAGTTATTGCTTTACTTTAAAAAATTAGGTAAAAGCATTTCTCTCTCATCTGTGTTGTTGAACAGGTAACAGTACAAAATACTACGAATTACATTTATGTGTGTTGGTCATAGTTTTTCATTGTGTTTGAGATTTCCCTAACATACAATTTGAATTAATGTGTGTGAATATACTGTGAAAATTGCAAGGAAAGTGCCTTTCTGTGGTGGCGGTGGTCACTTGGTCAGTATTACCTTCCTGTGTACCAGCTGTTGAAGGATGGGGAAAGGTCAAGTGTTTGTTGTTTGTCAGGTGGAAGCCAACCTGAGAATTAACTAAATAAAGCCACAGAATGTTGACTGAAGATGATGAAAAGATGTGTTATGATTGTTATTTGCTTTTAATAGGCAGTTAGAACTTGGGTTTTGTTTTCAATATCAGAATTAAATAGAAGTTTGTGGTTCAGAGTCTACGTACTTTTTCTTGTAATGAGTTATGAGGAGCTTTATTTTAGCAGTTATTGTCAATTCTAGTTTAACCTAGAAAGGTATTGTAGGTATGGTAATATCGGAGTACTATATTCATTTCCCTTTTATGGAAACTGATTTTAGTTCTGATGTATGATCATAGGATGAGCAAAATATACACACAAATAAGGTATTTATTCCATTGTAACAGTATTATTTGGCTTAAGGTAAATCTTTTTCTTAATAAGGCATTTTCTGCCATAGGTTATTCTTGTTTAGTACACTTTTAAGGACAGCAGTCTTTTGGAAAATAAAGATAGTATAGAAATATTTTAGTTATCTCTTTTTAGCTTGATACCTTTGTTTTTTTTGTTCAAAATTGCACTTAAAAAACACGGGCTTTGAATTTGGAAAATAAAGCTGTTACCTAAAAATAGTATTTTGAGATGACTTTCTTAAGCTTTTATATTTGGAGTTTATTTCTTGAAGATGGTTTTGATCTGTTTATGTAATTTTTAATAGTGAAATAAGAAACTTGGAAAGTAGGAGAGTTTGATTCTTCCCCTGCATGAGCATTTCTTTTCAGTGTGACCATAAAATTTTTCTTACTGCTTTGACCATTTCTGCTTCATTTCTCTCCTTTATAAATTTCTTACTATTTTCATGTGGATCTGGATAGTTGTCTTATTTTGAATAAAAGGCTTCTAACAGTGCATATAACTAATAAAAATCCTATATGTACTGTATACCTCTGTTGAATTCAAAGAACTCTTTTTCTTATATATTATGAGTTATACTTTTCTAAAACTGAAAAATAGTATGCCTAAATCAGGAGCAATAAAATGGGAGTTTGAATTTATAAGTTATAGAGATGATTGCAATTTAATATTATGACTTAGTTACTACATCATATACAGAGTTTAGTTCCCTTTCAGTAAATTTTTGAGGATGTCCATAGTTAATATTGGGTACATTTCTTTGGACTTCTGGTTTTGGCATGGCTATTCTGTCTGCTTTTAAAAAAATAACTTGAAGAAATCTTGGGTTAGAGTTCCCCCAGTTTTCAGACCAGCAAGCTCCCTTTAAACAGGGAATGATGTCTTTTAAACTTTCAGTGGTGTTGTCTCCATCTACTGGCAAAGAAGAAATATACACAAGGGTCTGAGATGATCTAAGAGATTTTGGAGAAACCACATTATTAGGTAAGATGTAACTTACGTATTTAACCACTACAATATAATGTGGCCCACTTAAAGGTAGAAACCTGTAAAATACTGTATATACTCTTTTAAAAAGTAATGTATTGAGGTGAAACTCACAACATAAAGTTAACTTTTTAAGTTAACAGTTCTGTGGCATTTATTTACATACTCTTAATATGTTAGTTTCATAGCATTTATGTATATATACTCTTAAAAATAAAAGGGTAAAGTTAAGATAGGATCAATTTCTTTCTCTGAATCAAAACCAGATAATGTCCTCTAGGGACTTATTTTACTTTTACTTCCTTTTTATGGTAAGTTCATTATGGTTCGTTACCTAATTTTAATTCCACTTGTTATTTCTCTTTCTTTCAAAACAGTGTAAAGTGTAAATTGTCTTACATGTGTTTCCATGATTGTCTATATTAGGGGTTGGCAAACATTTTCCTATAAAGGGCTATTTGTTAATATTTCAGGCTTTACGGTCTCTATTGCAACTGCTTTTTCTGCCATTGTAGCATGAAAGTAGTCATAGACAGTACATAATTGTTAAGTATAGCTGTGCACACACAAAAAAAAACTTTATAAAAATAAATGACACCTTGGATTTGGCCCACGGGCTATAGCTTGCTGACCTGTGGTCTAATAATTATGAGAGTATATACAGTAAATTTACACATTCAGATTCTTTCTAAGTGGCAATAGGCAATATCAGAATTCTTGTTAATATTTAGAGAAATTTAAAATAATATCCATTCTAATCTGGTTGTGGACTTCCTTAGGTTTTTTTAGTTGTAAGTTTGAGGGGAAATTTAAGGTGGCCACTACTCACATTTAAGGATTGCCTGACTTCATGATTGACATTCTTCTTTTGATTGATAAGTAGGACTCAACCATTATTTCAAGTCTTAGAATTTACCAGCAGGTAGATTATTCAATCTCAATTCAGTACTTTGAGTATACTTAAAATCCATTTTTAGGGGATAAAATGTACCTAAAAATTTCAACTCAAAATTTGATGTATGCTACTACTGACACTTTATGGATAGACAGATTACGATTTGTGTATATGGAGAAAAAGTAATTCTAAAGAAGAACTGACTTTTTTTTTAATGAAGTTATGGTACTCACAAAGGCAAAGTTTAAAGATTTTTGTTTGAATGGGTCGAACCCCCTTCTTAAATTGGTACTTTTGCCATAAATTGTTAGACAGTTATTGGGATAATGTTTATTTATAGAATGGTACAGATGCATTTGATATATGGAGAACAAGTGCATGATCAGTTCCAATGCACATGTTTAATCTTTATATTTTAGCTTATATTGACACATTATCAGGAAATCCATCTCGTGGTGTTACTCAGTTAAGAGGTCTCCACTGTATTTAGTTTCTGTTCCTGCAGATCCACCAATTCAAGACTCTAGGTCATCTCACTCCCTCTTCCATCCAGAAGATGACTTCTATCCACAAGCAGGACTGAATCAAAAGACAGATTTTTCACTTAGCTCTTGAGCTGAACCACCTCCTCAATGACCTTCCTCTGTCTCCATCAAGAACTGGAGCTCAGTTTTTTGAAGATGTAATAGAGCTACTCAGCCCAAACGTGGCTTATTGAAGACAAAAAGAAGATGCCTCATATGTTTCACCACAGTGCAGCCAAACGTAACTGTGTTGTCCAACTCCTCATTCTGTAAAGTATGGCAGGGGCATCTAATTTTTTATTCTGTTCACCTATAAGACCTTTAGCCAGTCAGTGGCTTTCTGAAGATCAGTAAAATCAACAAACTTTGGGTCAGCTGTCCAGAAATCAGATTGTGGTAAGCACTCAAGGAGAGAAAGGATCCTTTAGGGAGCTACTTGCTAAAGGATACTTTATTAGTAGAGATTTTTATGGGGAAAGTTGGGGGGGAGAAGTGGGTGGGAAATCCCATGTTTAGCAAAGGTCAGCCTCTTCACCATTATTATCGTTTGTTTTCTTGGGGACCTTACAGCCTAGGATAATTTTCATAAGGATCTCAAATATCTTACACCACGAACGAGAGGCTTCTGTCCCTTCTATAGTCTTTCCTAGGGAAGTCAGCATTATTTTTGGTTCATGAAGAAAAATACCAATCATTTAAATGGAGGATTTTGTCGTAACTACCTAATCAAGATTTTTGTTCTCTAAAGCTCTTACTTAAATTGACAATAACCAAGAGGCATTCGTTTTGACCTTCATAAAGCATAATTTTGTTGTACAAAAGTAGTATGTATATTTGTGTCTTAAAACATTGGAGTCATGGACACTTAATATTGAGGATAATATTTTAGCTGGTCTGGAAAAATATTTCAATAATTAATTGTAGGTAAATCTTAAAAGCAATGTTAAGTAACTTTCCTATCCTTATTAGTAAGTATAGTCATTGGCACTCATTTTTTTTTCATCACAATTATCATTTTTTAGGTTAAAAAAGGAACAGTATAGCTGAAACATAATTATCTACTTCTCAAAGATAAAATGTATTTCATGGGGAACTCTGTTCTTTGTAAATGTATCTTAAAATTAGAAGCAGTTCATTAAAAAATACATGGGAAGTTCTTGTTCAACAAGCTGAAAATGTTCTGTAAATTCAGGAGAGGTGACAATTGATTACTAAGCATATTAAGTTTGAAGGCTTCAAAGTTTAGAATTTGTTTTTAAAGGCGACATTTTAATTTTACTACAAAGGCCATTTTTGCTCCTAAAATGACTAAACTTATTTTAATATAACCACATTAGTATTTTATGTGTGTGTGTGTGTGTGTATACACACACACACATATATATATATATACACACACACACACACAATGGCTGCTTTTACTTGAAAATTTTTCTTTTTTGCTAACTTTTGCTATACCAGTTATTTGAATGTGTTCA